TTTAGTTTGTGCTAGGGCGGGTCTACACAGGACAGTTACAACACAACTCTTTACTATGTGCTGGAACTCACACCCCCATAGCCCACACCGTGGGGCTGTGTAGACACGCCCTGATATGCTGTGCCTTTACAATGTAAATTTTTAGGCATCTCTCTTTTCTCAACCCTTTTACTCACCAGTTGTCATATACTGAGACTTGGAACCTTCCTAATTATGCTTAAAAGAACACCAACCATGCCTTCTCTATTACTCTATTAACCCTGTGGAAAATGAAGAACAAAAACAAATAGAATTAAAACCTCAGGACACGCTATCCCTAATTCTCCTTCTAGAACTGGCACATGAGTAATATTTCTTTTCACTAAATTGTATTTGTAATTCCACAATCAAAGAAAGACTAAACCATTCTCGTGAATGGTTTTCTCAGATGATGGATGCACATAAGTTAAATAATTACAAATGAGTAGCAAGTGCTTTTTGAACAATTGTATCCTATCCACCAGTTTTCAGGATCCAGTTGTTCTACTTCACAATCTGGTGCTGACAAAGCAGTTATCTTTTTCTGCTAATTTAGTACAGTACTGCTGGGGAATCCTGACTGAAAGGGACCTCTAGGGTATCAGCAATGCTGGGAGGGGCTGGGTGGGTCTTTCAGAGTCTGAATTCTCTTTGATAGAGCAAGAGAGACTTCCTTAGTCCCCAATAGATTACTGTGCTCTAGTCCATATTAATTTTAGCTCCTGCTGCTGTGAATACAGGTCAAGTGTGTAAAAATGGGCCTGCTCTCCTCTCTCATGCCTATCGGAACCGTATTCTCATCCAAATGAACAAAGATTTTCATTGCTTCCCTTCTACTTTCCCCAACAGCGGTGCCCCCTTATACTGCTTATAACAATGGATTAAAAATATATTTGATATAACAGGATGCTCACAGGACAATCCTACCTCACCTTTGAGCATATCCTAATATCCTGCTCTCCATTCAGGGTTACCTGCTTGCATAATAACTAAAATGAAACAATAAACTGGCTCATTGAAATGTATTTTGCAAAAGGCATCTACAGATAGCCCAGGTTAACCATTATTTAAAGCCTTAACTTGTTCCAGTGCACTGACAGAACTTTCCAGTCCTCCCCTCTGACTTAAAAAATCTTTGAGGCTGCAAAGAATGTCTGCCACACGGTACCTCTGCACAACACTGAATTCAGAAGCATACTGCAATTTTTTCAGCAGTACTTCCCAACCACTTTACCAAAATTTGTAGCCAGTGTCTTATGACTGGCATTCAGTAATGCATTGGGTCTTCAGTTCTGAATATTTCTGAAGTTACGATTAGCAAGAGCAGTCAGGGGATAGTAGAAAGTGCACCCAAGTGCAATAGCTTTAGGACTGCAAGCTGAGGAGGCAAGAGTTAACAAACACAGCTCAGAGATGGCTTGGGCTCATTAGCCTCAGTGAAAGCCAGCCAAGAGCATTTCTAAGTGAGAGAGCTGCAGCCAGAAAGGGACTGCTCAGAGTAGAGAAATGAGTGTGTGGCCAGAGCGGGAAGGTTTTGTTCCTTACATGGGAAGTGATTCTAAGAGCTTGGCCAAAATTTTCCCAAGAGATGGACTATAATTATGAAGATCTGCTCAATCTACTGAGAAAAGTATCTCTTCTTGTAAATGCCAGTGAAAATTAGGTAGGACCAGAGTCTAAAATATGGAAAGAACAAGTCAAAAAGTACTTAGACAGGTTAGATGTCTTCAAATCACCAGGGCCTGATAAAATGCATCCTAGAATACTCAAGGAGTTGACTGATGAGATATCTGAGCCATTAGCAATTATCTTTGAAAAGTCATGGAAGATGGGAGACATCCCAGAAGGCTGGAAAAGGGCAAATATAGTGCCCAGCTACAAAAAGGGAAATAAGGACAACCCGGGGAATTATAGACCAGTCAGCTTAACTTCTGTACCCAGAAAGATAATGGAGCAAATAATTAAGCAATCAATTTGCAAACACCTAGAGGATAATAAGGTGATAAATAACAGTCAGCATGGATTTGTCAAGAACAAATCACGTCAAACCAACCTGATAGCTTTCTTTGACAGGGTAACAAGTCTTGTGGATGGGGGGGAAGCAGTAGATGTGGTATATCTTGACTTTAGTAAGGCTTTTGATACTGTCTCGCATGACCTTCTCATAAACAAATTAGGGAAATATAACCTAGATGGAGCTACTATAAGGTGAGTGCATAACTGGTTGGAAAATCGTTCCCAGAGAGTAGTTATCAGTGGTTCACAGTCATGCTGGAAGGGCATAACAAGTGGGGTCCCACAGGGATCAGTTCTGGGTCCAGTTCTGTTCAATATCTTCATCAGTGATTTAGATAATGGCAGAGACAGTACACTTATAAAGTTTGTGGACAATACCAAGCTGGGAGGGGTTGTAAGTGCTTAGGAGGATAGGATTAAAATTCAAAATGATCGGGACAAATTGGAGAAATGGTCTGAAGTAAATAGGATGAAATTCAATAAGGACAAATGCAAAGTACTCCATTTAGGAAGGAACAATCAGTTGCACACATACAAAATGGGAAATGACTGCCTAGGAAGGAGTACTGCGGAAAGGGATCTTGGGGTCATAGTTGATTACAAGCTAAATATGAGTCAACAGTGTAATGCTGTTGCAAAAAAAGCAAACATTCTGGAACGTATTAGCAGGAGTATTGTAAGCAAGACATGAGAAGTGATTCTTCTGCTCTACTCTGCGCTGATTAGGCCTCAGCTGGAGTATTGTGTCTGGTTCTGGGCGCCACATTTCAGGAAAGATGTGGACAAATTGGAGAAAGACCAGAGAAGAGCAACAAAAATGATTAAAGGTCTAGAAAACATGACCTCTGAAGAAAGATTGAAAAAATTGGGTTTGTTTAGTCTGGAGAAGAGAAGACAGAGGGGACATAACAGTTTTCAAGTACATATAAGGTTGTTACAAAGAGGAGGGATAAAAATTGTTCCTCTTAACCTCTGAGGATAGGACAAGAAGCAATGGGCTTAAATTGCAGCAAGGGCGATTTAGGTTGGACATTAGGAAAAACTTCCTAACTGTTAGAGTGGTTAAGCACTGGAATAAATTGCCTAGGGAGGTTGTGGAATCTCCATCACTGGGAATTTTTAAGAGCAGGTTGGACAAACACCTGTCAGGGATGATCTAGATAATACTTAATCATGCCTTGAGTGCAGAGGACTGGACTAGATGACCTCTTAAGGTCCCTTCTGGTTCTATGATTCTATGGTTCTTGGTTCCATGAGTGGGTGCCACTTTGGAGAATGCACACACCTGACCTGTGGAGCCAGAAAGTGGATGAGAGCAGAGCCTGGGGGCAACTGAGCCCTAGCAATGGGAAACCAATCCTGCAAAGCCCAGCATGCCATACAAGTTCTCCCCATGAATAGCAGGTGAGGCTTGATCTGCTCTAGTGGTAGATGCAGAGTTTCAGGTCACCAAAATACACTTAAAAGATTGTTTTGATTTTATTTTGCACCCCACAGCCAGCACTACATCTCTGCGTGCTTTTTAACAGTCTTGGGTCCAACCTCTTAATAACACAAGATACAAATGTTTATACTTAAATTTACCTAAGTGTGCAGGACAGCTTTGTTTTTAATCTTCTTTGGAAAAGATGATACACCGCTACCTCGATATAACGTGACCTGATAGAACACGAATTCAGATATAACGTGGTAAAGCAGTGCTTCGGGGGGGGGCGGGGCTGCGCATTCCGTTGGATCAAAGCAAGTTCAATATAACGCGGTTTCACCTATAATGCGGTAAAGATTTGTTGGCTCCCGAGGACAGCATTATATCAAGGTAGAGGTGTACAACTGAAACTTTCTCAGCTTACTGACAGAGTTGTGAATTTTCTTAAGTCAGTTTCCCCAAAGGAACATAGACAGAGCAAAGAGGAGATGGCAAAATGGAAGAGAATAAGTTCTAAAGGCTTCATACTAATTAATTGGGACAAAAAAATAAAAGTTTAGAATAGGACAGTAAAAAACTGGCAGAAGCAAAGACAAAGACCAACCAGGTTGAACAGAGACCCTTCACTCTGGGTTTTATACTTGCTCTATGGAATAATGCTAGGATGGTTCACAGCAGTCCTTTTTGAATTTTCCCAGGAGCTCTTCTAACTTAAACAGTCTCAGCTCATAAACAAGAAAAATGTTGGGAAAACCCAAAACATATCCATAAGAGTTGAAACAAAGTTTAGACACGGTTCCTGCATGCATTGTGTAGACCTTAGCATGATTTTGGCTAAATGGTTTTAGGTCGTTTCCAAAGGTTTTCTTGATATTGGTCTGTAGCACTCTAACCTTAGATCTGTTAGTTTTTCCTGGAGATAGGCCACACCAGCCATTCATCTTGGCCACTCTCAGGACAGGTAGCTTCCTCCCTGCATCTAGTGAATGCTGTTTCTCCCTCTGCTGAAGGCTGTCTGCAGACTCTGGCAGACATCACTTCTTCACAACCAGGAGGGCTAGAAATATATTTAAATGAAAGCTTAGTTTCACATGTTTAAGAGCTAGGGTGGTAGGCACTTTCCTATTGTATATATTACTTACACCCTGGGGTAGAGCTGGATTATCTGAACCCCTGAGAGGAGGAAGCAAGCCTGAGTTGCCCAGTGCAGCTCAGCATAGCGCAAATGATCATGCTTTGAACATCTGTAGTATTTCATCTTCGCCAACCAGAACTCCAGTGAAAGCACCACGGTATTCCTGACTCCGTTATCTTACCCATTCTCCCATTGACGTGCTTTGACACCTTTGTTTATTTACCTGTAAATTGAGGATCATATTTGCCTCCCTCCTGAGATTATGATATTTATAGTTTATAAGGTGCTTTGAGATTTTGGGAAAAATGCTATAAATACAAAGTATTGTAAAGTATTGTTATTCTGCATATTCTACTGTTTACGTGGTTTCAGATTGCCAACGTGTAATGTAAATTCTTTGTTTAGATCTGGCAGTGCGGAGGAAGTCTTGAGATCCACCCATGTTCTCATGTAGGTCATGTTTTCCCCAAACAAGCTCCCTACTCACGCGCCAAGGCCCTGGCTAACAGTGTACGTGCAGCAGAAGTTTGGATGGACGAATACAAAGAGCTTTATTACCACCGAAATCCACATGCACGTATGGTGAGTTTGATATCTATTGTGCTTAGAACTAAACTTGTATTTCTTTTCAATTTAACAGAAAAATCATTTATGGTGTTTTTGTTTGTTTTGTTTTAGTAGCTAAATTCAGGTTTTTTGCAAATTAATGTCTTTCACTGACATAAAAATGAACATTATCTACAGGGTTAATTTTTAATATGTCTTGGAAAACTGGGGAAACTCCAGAGGACTGGAAGAAAGCAATAGCTGTGCCTGTATTTAAAAAGGGTAAGCTCCATGACCCAGGTAATGACAGGCTGGTTAGGTTGACATTGATGCATATTGGAATAATGCAACAGCTGTTACAGGACTCTGTCAGTACATGATAGAAATACAATTAATGCTACCAACTAGTTTAATGGAAAATAGGTCTTATCTAACCTACTTGGCAATGTTCTTCAACAAGATTACAAGTCTGGTTGATAAAGGTAGCTGTGTTGGTCATTACAGAGATATTACAGAGACAAGGTGGGTGAGATAATATCTTTTATTGGACTGACTTCAGTTGGTGAGAGAGGCGAGCTTTTGAGCTACACAGCACTCTCTCACTCACTAACAGAAGCTGGTCCAATAAAAGATATTACCTCACCCACCTTTCTCTCTAAAAGTAACTGTTGACATAATAGATTTGTTTTTTGTAAGTTTGGCATAGTGCTGTAGAACATTCTGATTTTAAAATATTAATGTGATACAAAATTAATATGTTGCAAATTAATTTGATTAAAATACAGATCTAAAAACATAATTTGTTAATTGAGAATCATAAATGAGAGAGAATGCTGCTGGTGGGGTGTTCCAAGGATTTTTTTTTCCAAAACTAGTTATTTTTAGGAATAATATGGAAAAAAGTATAAAATCATTGGTGCTAAAAGTTAGCAGGTAACACAAAGATTGGCAGGAGGGTTAATAATGAGGACAGGTCATTGATATAGAATGATCTGATCACTTGATAAGCTGGGCACAGATAAGCAATGTGCATTTTGATACAGCCAAATGAGAGGTCATACATCTAGGATATCCTTATAAGGTGGTATCTATCCTGGAAAGTAGTCACTCTGAAAGATCACTGTAGTGAGCTTCGAGAGTGATGCTATGGCAAAAAATGTTAACATGGTCCTTGGATGTATAAATGAGAATATAAAGTAGGAGTAGAGAGATTGCATCACCTTTGCATATCACACTAGTAAGACCATTGCATGAATATTGTGTCCATTTCTGATGGCCGCACTTAAGGTGATGAAAAATTGGAGAGGGATGAGAGAATTGATAGAGAAATGATTTGGGGTCTGAAAAATATTCTTTACAATGTAATATTTAAGGAGTCCAATTTAGTTTGCTTGTCAAAGAGAAGATTATATTATCACTATAAGTATCTACATAAACTGAAGATATCTAACATTGCAGGAATAGGGGGAAGGGGATTAACTTAGATGTCTTTTTAATAGGGCTGTCGATTAATTGCAGTTAACTCACGCGATTAACTCAAAATAATCACGATTAAAAATATTTATCCTGATTAATCAGTTTCAATTGCACTGTTAAATAATAGAATACCAATTGAAATGTATTAAATATTTTGGATGTTTTTCTACATTTTCATATATACTCTATTCTGTGTTGTAATTTAAATCAAAGTGTATATTTTTGCTTACAAATATTTGCACTGTAAAAATGATTAAAAAAATATTTTTCAGTTCACCTCATACAAGTACTGTAGTGCAATCTGTCGTGAAAGTGCAACTTACAAATGTAGATTTTTGTTTTGTTACATGACTTCACTCAAAAACAAAACAGTGTAAAACTTCAGAGCCTACAAGTCCGCTCAGTCCTACTTCTTGTTCAGTCAATCGCTAAGACAAACAAATTTGTTTACATTTAAAGGAGATAATGCTGCCATCTTCTTATTTACAAAGTCACCAGAAAGTGAGAACAGGCATTTGCATGGCACTTTTGTAGCCGGCATTGCAAGGTATTTACATGCCAGATATGCTAAACATTCGTATGCCCCTTCATGCTTCGGCCACCATTCCATAGGACATGCTTCCATGCTGATGACGCTCATTAAAAAAAAATAAGCGTTAATTAAATTTCTGACTGAACTCCTTGGGGCAATATTGTATGTCCCCTTGTAGCGGTGCCTGCTCCCAGCCCCTCCACAAACTCAATTGGAGACCGCTCCAAAGTACATGCACCAGTGCTCTTTTATTGTTCGTGCATATCCCCACCACCTACTATTTACATATCTTACAGACCAACACCCTGGGAGACCGCTAGCTTCTCCTGCCAGTAGGGATCTAGAGCTCCTTGCTCCTCCCTTTCTTGTCTCTCCCCCTCTGCTTCCTCCCACCAGCTTTATATAGCAGGCTGGCCACTCAGGCCCGCAGGTGCATCCCCTCAGGTGATTAGGGTGTGGCCTCCCCAGCCAGTTCTAACTAATCCCCCTTTTTAAGCAGAGCTGGGCTAACAGGGGACTGGCTTGGATCTCCTAGCCAGCATCCTGTTACACCCCCGCATCTGCCATATATTTCCTGGTATAGCAGTCTCAGATGATGACCCAGCACATGTTGTTCATTTTAAGAACACTTTTGCTGCAGATTTGACAAAACGCAAATAAGGTACCAATTTGAGCTTTTTAAAGATAGCTACAGCAGTGGACACAAGGTTTAAGAATCTGAAATTCCTTCCAAAATCTGAGAGGGACAAGGTGTGGAGCTTGGTTTCAGAAGTCTTAAAAGAGGAACACTCCGATACAGAAACTACAGTACCCAAACCACCAAAAAAGAAAATCAATCTTCTGCTGGTGGCATCTGACTCAGATAATGAAAATGAACATGTGTTGGTCCGCACTGCTTTGGATTGTTATCGAGCAGAACCCATCATCAGCATGGACACATGTCTTCTGGAATGGTGGTTGAAGCATGAAGGGACATGTGAATCTTTAGCGCATCTGGCACATAAATATCTTGCGATGCTGGCTACAACAGTGCCATGAGAATGCCTTTTCTCAGTTTCAGGTGACATTGTAAACAAGAAGTTGTCAGCATTATCTCCTGCAAATGTAAACAAACTTGTTTGTCTGAGCGATTAGCTGAACAAGAAGTAGGACTGAGTGGACTTTCAGGCTCTAAAATTTTACATGTTTTATTTTTGAATGCAGGGGTTTTTGTACATAATTCTACATTTGTACGTTCAACTTTCATGATAAAGATTGCATTACAGTACTTGTATTAGGTGAATTGAAAAATACTATTTTTTTTTTACAGAGTAAATACTTGTAATCAAAAATAAATATAAAGTGAGCACTGTACACTTTGTATTCCGAGTTGTAATTGAAATCAATATATTTGAAAATGTAGAAAACATCCAAAAATATTTAAATAAATGGTATTGTTATTGTTTAACAATATAATTAATCACGCAATTAATCACGATTAATTTTTCTAATTGCTGACAGCCCTACTTTCTAAACAAGATGTTTTAGCTCAACAACATGTCACCAGAGCTTCTCATTGAAATGGTTATAAGATTTTTTTTTTTAATATGGGAAAACAACATTTTCCCCTTATCTCCCTCTTGGAAGCAGCTGAATCATTTTTAGCTGAAACTTTCCCAAAATTTTCAACATGAAACAGATACCTGGCATGGAGAATTACTACCTGTATGGTTAATGTTTGGCAAAGTTATAAACCACTGAAAACAGGACCTTATAATAAGAAAGTTTCAGGTAATCTTAACCATAGGGAGCAATACCTTCAATGGTTTTCAGTGGTTTATACTACTATGCTACCTAAAATTATAATATTGAAACAGTATGATCTTGGAGCAGAGCTAGAAGTAGAACCCAAATCTTCCATCTAGAGCCCTATGCAGGATTATTTTTAATTGTGCTCCTGTGCTGTTCCCACTATTATGGCAGCGGGTCCTGCGGGAACTGCAGGATCCTGGTCCTGCTGTAGGGCTCTACACTAGTCCTGTGCAGGACTCTACTTCCATCTTCAAATCCCATGCTTTAACCACGAGACCTGACCATCTCATATACACCTTTATTTTAAGAGTTTGTCATAAAGTGAAAACAGATTGTTATAAATTATAGGAAGCAGAATCACCACTAATTGATCAGATTGCTGGAGGGACAGCCATTACTGAGTAACGGAATTTTTAAAAAACATCAGCCACTTACATATAGCTCACTAAAGTACAGAACACTTCAAACCTGTACTTATATGGATAAGCTGACACGACAGCTTGAAGCACACAATAGACATATTTGCTGAACCTGTCAACACACCATATTTAGTCGTGTCCCATTAGATTTCACAGGCTAAGCATGGCCAGACTGGGTCAGTAGTTGAATGGGAGACATACAAGGAATATATATACCATACGTGCTGCAGGATATGGTAGTGTTGATTCACTAGTTAACCCTCTTCTGTTTTAGCGGATACTTAACCAGTGCACAAATATGGTTTCAGGCGATGTCTATGCTACAGACATCAACCTAGCTATGCCGCTAGGTCAGGGGTTTGAAGAGATGTGATTCCTGACTGACAGCTGTCCTGGCAAAAGTTCCTACATAGACTCAGTTATACTGGCATAAGAGTGCTTTACTGGAATAGTTTTTTTTTTTTCATTCATAGGGTGGGTGGAATCAGCTGTATCAGTAAAAACACAGTTTTGCTGGTATAACTACATCTAGAGTGGGAGCGCTTTGCTGATATACTATACTAGTATTCCTATACTGGTAAAGGGCTCCTAGTGTACATGTGACCTTAGAGGATGGGGCAGTTTCGGCAAAGATACCCTCTTTCAAAAGAGACATAATTTGGATATCCTTGGCCACTTGTGGTCAAACACCTCACTGCACTTTTCATAAGAGTAGAGATATTAATGCCAGCGTTCTGGCCAAACTCCATTCCATTCTCCATATTTATTGTACTGTATTAAAACAAAAAAACATTAACTTCAACCTCATGCTCTCGTTTCAAGATATTGGCACATCTGATTATCACAATCCACATATATGTAGAGTTGTTCTACTTTAACATTACAGAAGTCACCCATCAAAGTTTTGTGTTAGAACACAAGTTTGATGAAACAGGGATGTGCATTGTTTTTCCATATCTGTTGGAGATGGAATTGAATGCTTTCCAGAGTGTAGGAATGTTATTGATGGTGTCATGCATGATGGGAAGGTGGCAATAAATGCTGGGGAATTTTCCCTTTATTTTTTAATTCCATAATTTTAAGGTGCTTGGTAGCTGCGGGATGTTGTGCTGAATCTTTAACTGTCATTAAATTAATTTTTTTCTGTTAATAGCCTAGATTTTTTTTTTTTTAGTTGGGTTGCTGTAACTCACTATGTATAGGCTGGAGGGTTTGCTTTTTGTTTTTCCAAAAATTGTGCCCCCTGAATTGTGGTTCCCTTAACAATGTGATGCAACAAATGGCTCCTGGGTCCTGATACAGGATGTTCCTTACTCTGCCCGCCCTTGGTAGTTTGACAGCCTGTCTATGCAGCAGGGTTCTTTGTGGTGATGGAGTACAGAAGCATTCCTGAGGGAAGGGGGATCTCCAAGGAATCAATACTGAGATCATAAACCCAGTGGAGGACATATTCATGCAATAGGAAATAGTGGGCCTTGCTGGGGAGAGAAAGGGGGTATTGGGTGACAGGGCACCCTTGCTGTTCCCATCCACACGTGCTAGCCATTTGGTTTTTGGGAACAGTTACATCTAAGCTCATATTAGCCATGTTTTTTTCAACTTGGACATGAAAATTCAAACACTTCACAAGACACTATTGGCATTTTAAAGTAATCTTAATCAAAACACAGTTTTGATGAAAGTTGAACACTCCCACTGAAGCTAAAACTTTGGGAAAATCTTAACTATGGATAGTGCTATGGCTCCACCAATATTAACATCACATTGTTCTATCTATCTGTTAGAGTAGTCTGTCTGTATCTCGGGTCTTCCTCCCATTTAGCAGTGGGGACGGGAGGGTGATCGTGATCCCTGACACCTATTTGCTACCTTCCTGGGAGTCTCAAACTCTAGGATGACAACTCATATTGTAATCTGGCCAGGGAGAAAAGTATTCAGAGTAAGCCACTGCTAATCAATGAAGTATTCAGCAAGGGAAAAGTCACATGCAGAAAGGAAACTCCTTGCATCTAGTCTGATCTCAGACAAGTGGTTCAGAACTTTTCCACATGAAACCAACAAACCTGAGTGTGCAAGAGGGAGGAGCTGCCAATGTAGAGTGCCTATTTCTTCTCAGAAAATAGTGAAGAGATGTGAATTTGGGGGCTTACCTTTTAATAAAGTTCTCAACTTTTAGAGCCTTGTCAAGTACATTGTTTGCTTTTTGTGTTGGTTTGATTTTTTTTCCCCCCCCAGTCTGCTGGCACCTAAGCTTCCAGTGAATTGAACAATGTGTCAGAATGGCTTGGAATGCAGTGGTTCTTCTTTAAGTGCTTGTCCCTATGTGTAGTGCACTTCAGGTTTACGCATTTGCGCCATGCATCAAGGACTGCAGAAATTTTCCTAGCAGTGTCTATCTGGTCTGAGTATGTGCCCCTGCTCTTCTTGTGCTCTGCACTGAAGTTATAAAGGGGGCTGCCAGACAGCTGCCATCTTAGTTCCCTTTTTACCACTTGTGGTTTAAAATGGAGCTTCAGTGTTCACACTGACTTCAACTTTTTTTCCTGTAAATAATTTGTAATAGTTTAGCTATTTAGTATAGTTAGGACAGACATTTGGGGTTCTGTCCCCTAAGATTTGGGATCCTCCTCTGGATCAGAGAGGGATTCCTGTATTTCCCCACCACACCCCCGTTCTTTGACAGTAGTGGGGAGAGTCCCCCAAGGAAGGATTCCTGGCTTCAAAAACTTCATCAACTGCCACAAATCCTTCCTGATCACAGACTACCATCATGCCAGTCTGTACTGCCTGGAGGAAACCCACGTCTCATCCAGGTGCAGTATCTGCAAGTAGTCTCCAAGAAGGACAAAACAGCTGAGGAAGTTCCTGCTCCAAAGATTCCTCATGGAGAGGTCCTTGAGACTAGGGAAAGCTTCTGATTGCAAGGACCTGTATGTTGGCCTGAAGAAGGTAGGAGCAGCACACTGAGTTTGACTCTGTCCAGCTCCAAGGCCTCCACCCCACGCCCACTGGCTGCTGCTCTTCTCTGATGAGGTGGTGATTCCAGCCATATCCTGATGAGCCTAAGGCTTTCCAGAACTTGCTTAAAAGGGTGGCAGAGACACTACAGATTTCCCTGGAAGAAATCCAGGAAGCCCTGCACAGACTGCAGAACATCGTATGTAGCTCGAGTTCAAGTAGAGCGGAGCTTCCTATTAACAAGGCTATCCTTGAACCCACCAGGACACTTTGGCAGATGGTTCCACCAGTATCCAAGCAGGCTGAAAAGAGGTATTTCATATCTGCAAGAGGCTCGGACTAACTATTCTCATATCGGTCTCCCAACTCTCTGGTAGTATCAGCTACTACTGAGCATAGTAGGCAGAGACAAGCCAGGTTTGTGCCTCATGAAAAGGAGGCAAAGAGGTTGGACCTCTCTAGGAGAAAGGTGTACTCGTTGGCCTCTCTCCAGTGTCAAACTGAAACCATCAAGCATTGATGGCCAAATATAATTTTATCATCTTTAATAAGCTGACAGACTTTGTCAAGAAAGTACCTCAGGACGCTAGGGAGCAGTTTTAGGCCCTGATCGAAGAGGGGAAGCGGGTGGCTAGGTCTGATGGCCAGATGGCTTTAAATGTGGCAAACACAGCAGCGATGGCAAGGGCAGTGGTAATGAGGTGGCTCTCTCTTTTCCAGGGTTCCTGAAGGAAATGCAAACAACAGTGTAGGACCTTTTGTTTGAGTGCGACAAGCTGCTCTGCACAAAGACAGAATAATTCTTCCACTTGCTAAAAGTCTCTGGAGCCATGCTCTACACCCTTGATGTGCACACGCTTACAATTAAGTGGAAATCCAGCAAGCAGCAATTTCGACAGAGACCAGCCCTGCTGGCATTTTTACCATCTGCAGCAGCAAGAACTACTCCTCAGGTATCAGAGGACTTATGAAAATGGTGCTCTGGGGCAATCATCCATTACCTCCCAGCCAGCACTGGCTCCAAAGTGAGTGTTTTAATGAAACTTTCAAGAGCTGTGCACCAACAACCTCATCAGATCTAGACATTTCCACTGTCTTTTCTACCCTTTTGGAGGAAGACTCTCCCACTACCTGTCAGCCTGGACAGAGAACACTATGGACAAGTGAATACTAGACGTTCTCTCCTTGGGATCGCCATCCAGTTTTTACCTCATCTCGCTTCCTGAAAGGCTTGGTTAGAGTCTTCCCTCCAAATCTTGTATCAACCAAATCTTGAACCTGGTTTTATCAACTCAGACAAGGGCAGTACTTGAGCCTCTGGCATCTTGCTTTTTGATACACCTTTCCATAAAGGTAACAGTTCTAGTTGTAATCATGTCTGCCAGAAGAATAGGGGAGTTAGGAGGGTTCCTGGCTGACACCCTTCACCATACAGTTTTCCAGAAGGATAAAATATTCATGAGACTTTACCCAATATTTATTCTTAAGGTAGTATCTTACTTTCACATCAATCAAGTATCCACTTACCTGTATTTCACACATGAGTAGGCAAGAGGTGATGTGGTACTCCTCAGATGTGTGTAGGGACTTTGCCTTTTGTCTGCAGAGGACAAAGTAATTTCATACACCTCCCAGACTCTGTCTTATCTGTGGAAAGGATGGAAGGAGAGGCTAGAAACTTTCATTAAAACAAAAGTAAGGATAAGAAAGGGGCAGAGGAAAAGGAAGGTGGCCTCTGGGAAACTTGGGGATTGCAAATGAGGTTGTGACCACAGGTTGAGAACCCTTGGACTATGGAAAGAAGTGGATTTTGAAGGCATATTTGAAGAAATTGTGAGCTCTATTTGAATCTGTAGCAAGTGAAAAGTTTGAGTGGTGGCTTTCTTTAGCAGATTTAAGGTTCCATTTTTAAACTTAGTTTTCTTTTATTGAATTTACTAATTTACAAGATGTAAGTTCAAAGGCAACCTTAACTGAGAATTTCCAAACTTTTAAACACATTTAAGTTTAATGATGTCTTTAGAGAGGATTTTGCAAATGGATGGGGAGAATAATTTAGCACTCTTAACTTAAATTCATGCACTGTTATTGAGACTTTAAAATATCCAGTCAAAGTAGCAAATTAACAGTTAAGGCTCTGTGTTCTCACTTTAAACAGATTTTTTTTTTAAAGAATTCAATTTGCACTGTGTTTGAAAGCATTGTTGTTAAAATATTAAGAAATTTAATAATAATGAAACCAAATCCAGGGCCAAGTAATGGGAGGTTTTTTTCCTGGAAAGCACTGCAGGATCAGTTTCCTAATAGTGTATGTTGCTAATCTAACAGAAAGCACCTGTTCTTATTCTTCTATTGTATTTTATTTTATTGTAGGAGCCCTATGGAGATGTGACAGAAAGGAGGCTGCTTCGAGAGAATCTCAGATGTAAAGACTTCAAATGGTTCTTGGAGAATATTTACCCTGAACTTCATGTACCTGAAGACAGAGCTGGCTTCTTTGGAATGGTAGGCAACATGCTTCATTGGTTTTCTGGAAAGTGTCTTCCTAAGTCACTCTCTCCTCTCTTTTATTAGTTAAGATATGGAAGATAAAGATGTACCTGGTATTTTTATTCCAGAAAATATTGATTTTGGTAGAATTTAATTAGACTTGGTAGACACTAAAATTTGGTGGGTATTAGAAATTTAATATAAAGTAAAATAGTATGGTTAAAACCAAAACCTGCCATAAATTGCAGCTCAAAATTAAGTCTTAAGTGGGCTAATGGGGTTAGTGAGTATGGCTTTCAACATTTCTTAAAACATTACAGATAAGGAAAAAGCATTTATTGAAATTTTGGGATATGTTTTTAGTTTTGAACTTGAAAACAGGAATAAAGTGCTTTTAAACATATATGAACACACAATTGAGATTAGACTAATAGTCAGGAAATAACTTTTTCCTACTAATGATTTTTTTTTAGAATTTTATTTTTTGTTTGTAGCAATATAAAGCACCCACACCAATCAGCTGAGCATGCTGCTGGTTATCAGTAATACACATCTTAGTTAGCATCACTCCTTCTACTAAGCAGCAATTCTTAATGTAAAAAATGCTAATAATCCAGTACACCAAATAGCACCTCAGTTTCTGAACTCCCTCAAAAGGGCCATCAAAGCTGACAAATCTGAACTGTTTCGGGTCAGTTTAAGGAAGGTATTCCAAAGTCCTGGGGGCTTTATGGAGAATGTTCAGCCAGCTGTCCCCTCTCTGTTATGTCAAGCATGAGCACCTCCAGTGATCACAACTGTGGTGCTCTGTCATGGGGAGCGGTGGGCGGTAGTCATCCTTCAGATATTCTGGTCCCAGACCTTTTGGGACTTTATATGTCAAAACTAACATTTGAAAGTTTATCCAGTAGGTAATTGTTGACCAATGCAGATCCCTGAGCACAGGTGTCATGTGCTGTCTAAGACACTCAGGGGTACATCTACACTGCAAAAAACCCAACAACCCTGCAGCAGCAGGTCTCAGAACCCAGATCAACTGACTGACTCTTAGGGCTCATGTTGCAGGCTAAAAAAATAGTAGTGTAGACATTCCCGCCCACCCCAAAGAGAGGGGGGGGGTCTCAGAGCCCAGGCTGCAACCCAAGCAGGCATGTCTGCAGGGTTATTTTTAGCCCTGTAGTGCAAACCTGAGTTGGTTTCCCAAACCTTGAGACTCACTGCCACTTTTTTTTTTCCTGTTTTTTGCAGTGTAAATGTACCCTCAGTTACCAGTTGGACAGCCACCTTTTGCACCAGTTGCATCTTACAAATAAATTTAAGATGCATTGAAATAATCTTATTCTGAGAGGACAAAGACATGGATGATGGTAGCAAAAGCCACATCTGAAAGATAAAGCTGTACCCTTCTGGCCAGGCTCAGACGAGTAAATGATCCTATATGTCACCTGGTCTTATAAGTGTAGCTGTGGTTACCCCAAGTTTATAATCTCGGGCCCTTCCTAGAGCAAGTTCTGACACTTCTGGTTTTTAATCTCAGGCAACCAACATCACCTCAGTCTTGTCCTGACTGAGCCAGACTGACCCAGCATGCTTTAATACTGCCAAGTGCTGGATTAGTCACTTAACTGCCTCTACTGGATTTTTCTCAGTGGAGAAATAAAGCTGTGTGTTGTCCATGTACATAACATATGGAAAACACCATAGCGCAAGTCTCCTCATTCACTCCCCTAACAGACTGTGACATTCCCCTGGTGTTATCTGGACCGGTGTTCTGCTAGGCCACTCCAATCCTCAGCTCCAGGAGCCAGCCTTACCCTGCTCTGCTGTGAGAACCCCCACTCCCAGGATGTTCATGCACAGCCTCTGGCATATAAGCTGGTCCCAGCTACATGAGTGAGCACTTTTGGCCAGCTGCTGCTTGGATTGTGCAACTGAATGACACCAGCCAGTATCTCCCGTCCCAGACACAACCGTAGGAACCTCCGTCTTGCAGTGTCCGGTTATGCCCGCTGGATTCTACAAGCTTATAGGAGTTCGTCAATTTAACAAACAAATTGATATATACCAGGCTTGTTATCCCAAGGGGAGTTTCTGACATGCTTCAAACCAAATGCACTGCTTCAGGTAGAATAAACAAATTAACTACAAGAGAGATTTTAAGTGATTATAAGCACAACAAGTCAGATTTGGTCAAATGAATTAAGAGCAAAACACATTCTAAGCTGATCTTAACACTTTCAGTGCCCTTACAAACTTAGATGCTTCTCACCACAGGCTGGCTGGTTGTCCTTTAGTCAGGCTCTCCCCTTTGATCAGCGCTTCAGTCGCTTGGTGGTGGTGGGAGAGAGAGGAAGAGCATGGCAAACGTCTCTCCCTTTTATCATGTTCTTTCTTCCCTCTTGGCTTTGCCCCCCCGCCCCTTCAGGGTCAGGTGAGCATTACCTCATCGTAGTCCCAAACTGACCAAGGGAAGGGGGGGTGACTCACTCGAGAGTCCAACAGATCCTTTGTTGCTGTCTAGGCCAGTGTCCTTTGTTCCTGTGAGGCTGGGCTGGGTTTGTCCCATACATGCCCTGATGAGGTGTGAACTGCCCCTCTGTTCCTGGAGAGTTTTGCCTGGGCTTGTTTTAAGCCATGGGGACACATTTTCAGCCTCATAACTATATACATGAAATTACAACCTATAACATTACTACAACAACACTCAGTGCATCATGAGCCTTCTGAAGACACCCAACATGACAAACTTTGCATTGGATACAACACAATCATATTATAAGGATGGGCATGGGGGTGCATGGTGTTCCCCCAAGATACAGAGTGTCACACAGACCCATTACATACTGAACAAAAGAGGTGATAAATTAGAACCTTACAGTACCCCATATGAAAGTGCACTTGTAGTTGATCACCAATTGTACAATACAATCCTTTGGGACCTCTGAATAAGGAAAGAATGCAGTCAGTCTAAAGCAGTCTCATCCATTCCTTCCAGATTCATGCAAAACTATTGGAGAGCACAGGTTTGAGTTGCAGAACGGGAAAAAATAGCTTTTTTTCTGGTAAAATGAGCACATTTGATCAAAACCATTGAGATAGTAATTGTTAAATCCTGCAACTCCAGTCCCTTTTCAAAACAGAACCTCACTTTGAGAGTCTGTACTACCTCTATTGCTACTATCCTCTTTCATACAAAACTCCCATTAACTTCAGAGTTCTGCAGGATCAAGGCCATAGATAGACTGATAATAAAAATGTTAAAGAACAAATAGCCACATATACAAAGATCATAAATTCTTTAAATATTTCAGAAGAAGAAAATCTTGTTCTGCTAGACTAGAAACAAGTGAAAGGATTGGTCAAAGGTTAAAGAGCTTGCAAAGAAGCCAAATCATTTGTCTGCATTGATCTGCATGACAGAAGATACCAGTCTCTCTCTCTCATTAACAGGTGAAGGTGAAACAAAATCTGAGAAAAAAGTATAACCAAAAATATAATGGGCAATTTGAAAATAAATTGTTATGAGATTCAGTAAAATTCTAATGGAACTAACTAATGAAGAAATTCAACTAACAACAAAAATGGTATTAATTATTGCGAACTGTTGCTACGTGGCTGACTCCAGTAAATGCTGTGTTTTAGGGTTCTTTTTAATGATCTCAGGCATAATTTCTCAATAAATGTATGTGATGGTAACCTTCCCACACTGTTAAACTAAGCATGCAGGAAAAACTGCAAGTTACAAAAATGAGCTTTGTTTTTTAATCATGTTTCTTACATGAGGTAAATGCTAGTGATCTTACAACCAAATCTTTCTCAATTTACTTACAAGCAAAACTTTCTCAGTTTACTGACAAAACTGACTGCTTTTTAAGGTCAGTTTCTGCAACCAAATGTGCGCACACATATAAAATAGAAGACAGGAAAAGGAAAGGTGGTGGGGGGGAGAATAGGAGCATTCTTTTAAGCATAGGTTGATAGTAGTTGTTTTCAGTTTGAGACCAAAGTCGTAATTCTTTCTGTAGTAAGCCTAATTCCTGGTCCATTCAGAAAGACTGGAATGGAGGCTAGGTCCTGTTAGTGGATTAAGTCTCTTCCCTCACATTCCCCAATGACAGTAACTGGTATAAAAAGCATCAGATGAGCAGGCAAAACCAAACCTATGAATGGCCAGGGTTCCTGGTTGAAAACCAAGATGCCATTAAACTTTTTAACTTTGAATGGAAAATAAAACAAGACAAAGAAATCAAACCATACTAAATAAAAGAAACCTGACAAAAAATGAAGAAAAGCACTAGTTTCTTTTTCCAGGTTAATCTGGGTTTTATACTATAATTCATGAAAAATTTACAGATTGTGTATGTAGTAGTTCTTCTGGAGCATTCCAGTAGGGTATATCATCCCAAACAATCTTTACTCAAAAGCAAGGCAATCTTGGGCAAATTCAAAACAGTCTAAATCAAATCCACAAAAGGTCAGTTTTCAAAATAAAGTTCAACAAGATTGCCAGTCACTGTAAGGCTTTCTTTAGCATGACTTTGATTATTTGATCTTCAGGACTTTGTTCTAAATTCTATCTATAGTAATAATCTAGAGAATTTAAATTTGTCAGGTTTTCCTCCTCAAACCAGATTCCTTGCTAGGAGAAGTCAAGGAACACATTATACACACCAAGAGTTTGTTCTATTAAGATAGTAACAATGTGATTTTGTAAATCAAGTTAATTCGTAGTTTGTGGTGACAGGCTTATAGAATGAGATCCCCTCCCAACCTGGAGCTAAGTGAATTAAGATATATAATTTTTTGAATAGGAGTTAGTAAGCACATAAGCCCTTGGAGGTCTCAAGGTGCCTTTTACAAGTCCCAAGTCTGCTTCTAGAGTATTGTGATGGTTCTCGAGGCACCCAGACTGTGAGTCACCTTGTTACCCCTTGCCTCCAGCAAGAGGGAGCCTTTCTTGTGGTAGCTGAGTGTTAGCCACCTGACACCACCAGCCTTTCAGCAGCTCAAGAACT